GAAATTGGTGATTATGGGTACAGCCATGAAAACCAGCTATCAAGTAATCCCAAAATAAACTTCTGAGTTTGCATGACTTCAGCTTTACAGTATATTGTAAATGTTATCTGCACAGTTTGGTTTTACCTGTCTGAAGAACTCCTCCAGAAGGGATGTGGTCCAGTGGTGATGGAGTTCCCAGCATTTTGCTGGGTGGCTGATGTCAGCTGTGTGCAGCAGCAAAGATAAGGCCTTCGGTTTGTCAATCCTGCAAATACAGTCCAGTCAGTCACTGCTAGGCTGCTGTCAATGACCCAACCTACTGCTGCCCAACTCCTTAAACTAATGAGCATGTGCGTTTATCTGCAGTCTGTGAAGTAATAACTAGATTACTATATGAAACGATTTCTCTGGTGAGAAACATATAATGCAAAATCTGTTACAGGAAAGTGTGTAATTTTTCAAGGAGAAACAAGAGGACTAAAACTTGTTTTGCTGGTAACCCCACTGATGAGATCCCAGCACTAAATCTTTCAGCATAATAAGCATCAGTCACTATTGCTGATAGCCCTGTAAAGTACTTTGAACTGCAATGTCACAATCACCCTATTATGACACATCACTCCCATGATCAGTTGCCATTAGTAGGCAATTTAGGTTTAGTGTCCTACTTAAGGACAGGAAAAGCCAGGGATTGAACCAACAATATTCTGCTCTAAATCCTGAGCTGCAGCTGCCCCAAAAAACATACAATAGCCTACAATAAAGTCAGCTGAAAAAAAAGGGGAAAAAAACCCTTGAGGGACTGTAAAAAACTTGACCAATCATTGCAATCTGACCTAATGAAATGATCGGCTGGCATTGGCTGCACTACTGAAATGTTGTCTGTTTCTGAGCATAATATCTAAGCCTTTGGCCCTTGGAGAAAAAGCTACAAAAAAATCCACTTTGGTGGAGAGTGAATGAGACAATTGAATAAGTAAGATGAAACATTAGGTGGCATCCTGCTTTTACCAACAACTTTTCTACAAACATCTGGCAAACAGTATGGCTAAGGATTAATGCAGAAATGTTAGATCACAAGTATAATTGCAGACAGAGAAACAGACTGTGTCAATTAACGCAACTGATTGATTGGAATGGGGTAGATCTATTTGGTTAGCCTTAGGCCAAACCATATGAGGCATATAGATGGGTAGGACAAATTAAAGCCTTACAGCATATGCATCGTGGATCATGGTCCTGAGAATACCCACACTGTAGTAACTTCAAACATTTATGCAAAACAGTGAGGGTGACAATGGAACAGTGTCGCTTTAGGTCCAAATACTGGTGGTACACCTTGAACTAACTTAAAGCAGACGGCTATTTTGTTGACAACTTCATTGACAAATCACTGATCAAGATTTATATACAAAATACCATAATTCCAAAACACCCTCGAGGTACAGACCTATTGTTTATCAACTACATTAGTGGTTGAAGCACTCAGATCCTTTACATGAATAATGATACAATACTATAAGTCCTACATTCAAAGCCTTACTTTAATAAAAGTGTGTAAGCATTATCATTACATAAGGGCTACTTAAAGTATTGAAATAAAAAGGATTCCTTGTGTAGTAATTATGTTATGGTATTGGATTAATATCACAAATGAATCATAGAGAATTAAAGCTGTGGATGTATATGGTTGTGATATGTGTCTTAGAATTTCCTAGAATTGCTGCCAGCAGATCAAATGATGATCGAAATACATCAAGAGGATTGCTGTTTTAAGGATTATCCTTGTGATGAAGATGTGTTCCACATATGTAGTATGTAACATATGGATGAGTACAATTTAGCCTCTTCGCTCTGCTGCGGGAAATAAAATGGTTTAATGCATCTTGAAAAATGTTGGAACTTGAGGTCGAAGCTTTATAAATGTCCTTGTCGCCAGATATTTACTTTATTCTGTGCCATATGCACCAGGAGTTGCTTAATCTGTATATCGCCATGATTTCTGGCTGGGGAACACTTTTTTGCAGTCACACTCTCTGCACAGCAATGAGACAGAGCTGCAAATGTTTTTTTTAAATGACAATGACAATGAATGGACAATTTCAAGGTCTTTTTGTGCCATGTCCAGGAGATCCAGCAATTCTGTTCAAGACGTGGGTGAGGACGTTTGAAAATTACTTCCTTGTGATCAACACGACTGGAAACTCATGCACAGAGGTGAAATGAGCACTATTACTTCACTGCTTGGGATGAGCAGGACAGCGGATCTTTTACACTGTCAAACACAGGTGATACCCTAGCATCAGCCATTGCTGCATTAAAAGAGCACTTGTAGAGTGCCACACTTTCAGAAAGAGTACAGGCAGTCCATGAATCCATAGTGAAACACACTGTTGCATTGAGAGAACTTGACATGATAAGAGCACTACTTTTTCTTTCAGAGAGAGGCTCCCCCACCCATGACCTTACTATTACCAATGACAACACTGTGGTAGCCCCCACCCAGACCGCAAGGAACCTGGGTGTGACACTCAACAGTCAACTCTCCCTCACTGCCAACATTACTGCAACAACCCACTCGTGTAGATACATGTTGTACAACATGAATAGGAGAATACGTCCCCTTCTCACTCAGAAGGCAGCACAGGGTCTGGGTCAGGCTCTGGTCATCTCAGGCCTAGACTACAGCAACTCTCTCCTGGCTGGTCTACCTGCTTGTGCTATCCCACCTCTGCGGCTCATCCAGAATGCAGCAGCTGGACTGGTCTTTAGCCTACCTAAGTTCACTCACACTCCACCTGGGCATCAAGGATAACACCATGCCAACTGAATCACCTATTTCTCCCTCTGCAGCTTCAGTGGAGTGTGTCACCAAACAGTCAGCCTCACCTGCAATTGTAGGAAAACTGTAAACAGTGTTGAGAGATGTGCCTAATGTGCAACATTACCTGGATGACATTATCTGCAAAGGATGCACAGTTCAGGAGCATGACACAGCTCTGGAAACTGAACCGCAGCGACTCAAAGCAGCAGGCTTGAAGTTGAAAATGCCACTTTCGCCAAGCCTGCTTTACGTTTTTGGGACACATGGTGAAAGCTGAGGGCATCAAGCCTGACACAGAGCATTTGCAAGCCATTACACAGGCTCCTCCTCCTAAAGATGCTGCCAGCCTTCGCTCCTTCCAATTCAATTCAAATTCAAAAGACTTTATTGTCATTGCACGGTCGTACTTTGTACACAAGCACAACAAAATTGTGGCACAGTCCTCCTTGATGCCAAACATACAATTAACAAGACACAAACCACTACACAAATTGAGATAATAAAAAAAGGGGATTCCAGGACTAAAGGCATTTAATGAAGTGGATGTACTATACAAAAAAGAATAATTGTATCGATAATGTACAGATTCATGCAGATAATATGCATATTTAGAGAAGTGCAAACTGCACAGAATAAATACTATATACCGATAACATACCGATATATCTGGATAATCTGGGTAATATACAAAGTGTATCATTGCACCAAAAATGCCCCGAAAGTGTTCATTGCACAGAAAGGTCAAGGATTGAAAGCCCCATAGTGTTATTGCAACTGGAATGACACATGATTGAGTCAGATATTACATTTGCATTTATCCTTGCAATCGCCTTGTTGTAAAAACTGTCTCTCAGTCTGTTTGTCAGTGATCTCAGACCTTCTGCCAGGCCTTCTGCCTGAGGACAGCGGCTCAAACAACCGGTGTCCTGGATGTGTGCTGTCTCTGAGAATGCTGCGTGCCCTCTTGAGACAGAGGGTGTTATAGAGGTCCATCAGGGTGGGGAAGGGGCGGCAGATGATTCTTTGTGAGGTTTTGATGACCCTTTGCAGCGCCTTCCTGTGTGCCGTGGTGCAGCTGGAGAACCACACAGAGATGCAGTAGATTAGCACACTCTCGATGGAGCAGCGGTAGAAGATAGTCAGCAGCTCTCTCTTCAGGTTGATCCTTTTGAGGATCCTCAGGAAGTGGAGTCGCTGCTGGTGTTGGTGCTCCACTGAAGGTCTTCGTCAATGTGCACCCCCAGGAACTTGAAGCTGGTCACCCTTTCCAGACAATTCCCATTGATGTAAATGGCCTGTAGGTCGGACTTCCTTCTCCTGAAGTCAACAATCAGCTCCTTCGTCTTGGAGGTGATGAGGATCAGGTTGTTGTCCGCGCACCACCCCCAAGCCTCTGGACCTCATCCCTGTATGCGGTCTCATCACCTCCGGAGATAAGCCCCGCCAAGATGGTGTCATATGTGAACTTAGATAGATAAATAGATTGATAGATAGACATATTTTATTCATCCCCGAGGAAAACGGCCCTGCTATTCCAGGTGGGAGATGGTGGCGTGGAGCACCCTGACGATGGCGTCCTCTGTTGATCTGTTAGCCCTGTATGCAAACTGAAGTGGGTCGAATGATGGTGGAAGGCAGGATAGGATGTGGCGATGGACCAGTTTCTCAAAACACTTCATGACGACAGGTGTCAGAGCGACTGGTCGGTAGTCGTTGAGGCTGCTGATGGTGGTCTTTTTTGGCAGCAGGACAATTGTGGTTTACTTCAGGCATGGTTGGATGAAGGACTGGGAGAGTGATGCATTAAAGATGTTGGTGAGGACCCCTGCCAGCTGGTCTGCACACTCTCTGACGACCCTCCCGGTCACTCCGTCTGGTCCAGCTGTCTTCCTGGGGTTCACCGCCCTCAGTGTGCGCTTCACCTAGTGTTCCTGCACCCTGAAGCTGGAGCTGCTACATTCCGGTGGTCGGGGTATAGCTGCCTCAGATCTTTCAACCTCGAAGCGTGCGAAGAGGTGGTTCAGCTCCTCTGCAAGCCCTGCATTTCCCTCAGCTGCTGTGGTGTTGTCAGACTTATAGTTGGTGAGTTGCTGGACTCCCTGCCACACCTGTCGCGCATTGTTGTTGTTGAAGTGGTCCTCAACCTTTCTCCTGTGTGCTGCCTTGGCCTCTCTGATGCCTCAGCAGGACCTGGACCTCCTTGGTCATCCAGGGTTTCCAGTTGGAGTACACCTGGAGAGATTTAACAACAGTAACTGTGTCTACACAGAAGTTGATGTAAGAGAGCACAGACGTGGTGTATATCTCCAGATCCTGGTGTTTGAATATACTCCAGTCTGTGCTCTTGAAACAGTCCTGCAACTGAATTAATGCGCCCTCTGGATATGTTTTTATGGTTTTTGTAACTGGTGGGGTTCTCTTCCTGATGAGGTTGTATGCAGGAATAAGCAGTATGGACAAGTGGTCAGACAGACCCAGATCTGGTAAGGGGGTTGCCCTGTAGCCTTTTGGGATGTTACTATAGGCTTTGTCCAATGTGTTTACACCCGTTGTTGCACATGTAATATGTTGTTCAAATCTGGGAAACACTGACTTTAAGTCAGCATGATGATTAAAGTCCCCCAATATAATATGCACAGCATCAGGATAAGAATTCTGGTGGCTGCTCACTGCTTTGTGCAGCTCGCCCAGGGCTATGTTAGTATTAGCATCGGGTGGTATGTACACGGCCGTTACCATGACGACGGTAAACTCACGGGGTAGATAGACCGATCTGCATTTTACAATCAAATATTCCAAGTTCGGGGAACAATGGCTGTCTACAGTCTTAGCATTTTTGCACCAGCTGTCGTTGATGTAGATGCATAACCCTCCTCCCTTACTCTTACCAGAGTTGCCGTTTCTGTTCTAGCATTGGATTGTGCAGCCTGCTAACTCGATAGCTGAGTCCGGTATGGATGGCTGGAGTTAGTCTCTGTGATGGTTAAAATGCAACAGTCCCAAAACCACTTGTTGGCCGCAATCTATACCTTCAGTTCGTCGGTCTTGTTTGTTATGGATCTGGCGTTGGTGAGGAAAATGCTAGGAAGCGGCGGCTTGTGTGGTTGTTTCTTTAGTTGTGCTAGCAGGCCACCCCTGCAGCCTTGCTTTTGCTTCCCTTTGCCCAACACCTGCTAATGTTTTCACACACAAACACAAACAGTAAACAAAACACGGAGTGGGGAGCTGTGAGCCACTGCGTCTATGCGCGCCGCCATCTTGCTTTTCATCCTTGTTAGACTGCCCTGGTATGGAAAATTCATACCTAACGCTACAGTAGTTGAGTCTCTGCATGCCTGCGACAAGAAGCCACATTTGAATGGACTGATGAGGCTCAAAAGTGCTTCCTTACTGTGAAACACTTGCCTTATTCAACCCAGCCCTGCCAGCCATCATTTTGACTGATGCATCTGATAACGGTCTCGGTACCATATTCACCGAGCTGCATCCAGTTCAGACAGAATGCACAGTGGCATTTGCATCAAGAACGCTGATGGCAGTCAAGAGGAAATATTTAGCAGTTGCTAAAGAGGCTCTTGGGTGTGTCTGAACAGTGGAGAAATGGAGAACGTACTTGTGGGGAGATTTACACTCCGCGATGCGCATTGCAATGTTGAGCTTGACATAGAGGCCATGAGAATCTACTCTAGTCAGATATTACCGCACACATCTGAGAAAAATTTACCTTTCCCGACAAACATTTCAAAACCAGGTTTTGATGTTAGCAAACATGTTACATTGGTGCCAACATTTGACGAGAGTCAGAAGTTCTACATTAAAGAAGAATGCTTCTTGTTTGCTGTTTTACTTGATCTATTGCACTTGAAAGGCAGTAGGTCTATTAGCAATTAATATTTTAATTACTCATTGAATTTTCAACAAATTTTCAAGCATATGTGCATATGTTGTATATACAGTGCCCAAAAAAATGAAGGGGACACTTAATCGTCACAGTATAAAAACATTCCCTATTTGGTGGTTGTCTTGCTTTTGCCTTTTCATTGCACCTGTTGTCGATTCCATTTACACCAAAGCAGGTACAATTGATTCACAATCACTGGTGCTTAATAAATGGACAGATAGACTTGGTGTTACTGTGATGATCAAGTGTTCCCTCATCTTTTTTTTAGCAGTGTATAAAACATGTATATATTCCCCCAACTTAAGATAAAATATTTCCTCTGCGAACACTTGTAAAAATGGAAAAAAAATGTCTTATATTTTATATCTCAGGATGGTAAATGTAGAGAAATACGAAGATGTCAACAAGACAATGAGAAATGCACTTTTTGTGGTAAATCGATGTGTTACAACAGAATTTATAAGTTATGTCCTACCCCCTACATGTCCAACCCAGGCGCCACTCCATACCTGAATGCTCCGGGTCAATTCTGCTATGTTGTGCATATGTGAATGGCATAGTCCAGACAATCTGGCCAGAAGATTATCTGAGCTGATGTCTGAAAACAACGCTGACTCACAATCCGCTACTCACGCTTCAGGCTGCTGTAGAAGGGTTTTCATGGCTTTGATTTGCTGGAAGTGGCAAGACATGTCAGTGGCCAAGACCATCTCCACTACCAAACTCCGCAGTTCCCTGAAAGAGTAAATGAAGATGAGATATATGAGCGAACTTGTTACGTAGTTACACTAACTCTTAGTTTGTTTTTGTTTTTGATGTTTGGTTCCATGTCACGTCACTAACTCTCCTGTCATTTCAGGGCCTGCCTTTCTTCCCTGCCTTGCAATCATATCATTTCCCTCACTTGGTTTTCCCCGCCCACCTCACCTGCAGTCCATTTGCTCATTAGTTCCTCAGTATAAATACCAGTCATTTTCACTCGCTCCCTGCCAGATTGTCTAGTGTGTTCTTGCCTAGCTATCCCGCGTTGTACTCTGTTTTCTTGCCTGCCTGTTCCTGACCTGACTGCTACCCTGCTTGGATTTTGGATTCCCTTCTTGCCTGCCCCTTCGGATTTGTTTGCTGTACGGACTGATATCCTGGTTTTGACCTCTGCCTGTCTTTTCTCTGCCTGTCGGTGAATAAACCACGTTGCCCAAACTAAGACTGTCTGTCAGTGTGCTTTTGGGTTCTCCCTTGCCAGCACCAGTGTGCGTGACAAAACTATTAGATGAACTGCCATGAACCTTCATGTTCCCTGCATGAATTGAAAAACCTTTTCAACTAGCATTATCAGTCTAAAATGTAGTACTTTCTGCTATGAGATAATATCTGTTAAAATTATGTGTTGGCCTTTACTGTATCTTGTGTTTAGTGCTTTTTGGCACATGAACTGTTTACTTAACTACAATAATTAACATACAAAACATTGCTTATTAAACATCAGCATAATAAAACAGTTACTGTTACTATGCTGGTATAAGCTGGTGTGGCAGACTGAAAGAATGACCAATGTGAGTCTTTAGTTTTGTTGTTTTATAGCAAGCAAAATAGATACAAATGTGACTGTCTCACCTCCAGTCATCTTTGTTAAGATTAGAGAGGATGTTCTTTTCATCATCATCCTGTAGGAGACGATAGGCTGCACTGACATGGTGGTTCTCTAGAACAGCTCGGTCATTGTACAACATGGCTGTGTTTGACCTGCAAATTCCAGTCACATTCATCATGAAGCACATTTAAAACAGTATAATCTTGTGAAAAATGATTTGTGATGGTAACAAGCACACATCAGCTTTAACAAATGTGCTTTTGCTGATGGGTGTGCAAAATGTCTAAATCATTTTATAAAAAAGTATATACTCTCATATGCATTTTCACTTTTTATTCGTGGAGACATTTATGCTTTCCTTAATATCCTTAGCAGCTGCAGCAGTTAAAAATGTTACAAATTATACCATGTTGAAATTACCTTGTCTGAATATGGAAGTTATTGGTGGTCCCTGTGTGCTCATAGTCATGGATAGCAGCAGCAAAGATTATGGCAAAGATCTCCAACTCAGTTAGCCAATGCTGAGAGAGAGAGACAGAGAGTGAGGGTTGCCATGGCTTCAAAAACTGGTTCACTGTAGAACTGATGCACTCTTGACATTTGTGTTGTAAGATTTTTGCATACATAACATATTAAGAAAACAGCAAAATACTGTTTCTTCATTAATGCATGTGTAATAATAACACATAACAATATACACAGATCATTGTAAAAATGGCAGAGTAAATGTCCAGTCAGCATCATTGGAAATAAAGTTTATAACGTAATTGTTAAAATACAATTCAGATAGATCAATGTGGCAAATAACGTAGAACATAACGTTTTACGAATTAAGCTTGATTGAGCTCATCAACATTCACAGAGGCATGTTATTTATATTACTAACTGATAAACAAAGAGTTCTTTATGAAGTAATTGCTCTTGAATATCTATCAGCACTAACTCCAACACCATCTGCTTAGTAACACTCACCCCCAGCATTTCAGCAGTGTAATTGCAGCATTCTCACACACACAGACGCACAACTATGAATATTTGGCCCCGCTTGAAGCTACGTGCGCACCTATGGTGTAGCTTCAACACAGAAGCATTAATCAGAAGATGGGAGAGCAGGGGTTGGGTGCCAGGCAACAGGTTGTGTGTGCTCTGAATGTCAATAACAAGTGAGTAAACCACCACAAAAAGGCGCATAAACACAATTTTGTATTTATAAAGGTATGTAAATGGAGTTTACAGTGTGGACAGATGCGTTCACACCATTGAATATTTTAGCAGGTGGCAAGTAAAGCAGTAGCTTTACTTGAAGAGAGGAAATCAGCGCCATCAACCAAACCTGGAACAGCTTAGAATCTATACCAGTAGATGAATGTTGATGATGATGATGATACTTTTATTGTCAGAACACATCTGTAATTTGTTTTGCGTCATATAGCAGTTCCATTTACGTCACAGGTAATATATGTGGGTTTTGAGAAAGAAAATTATAGTATAAAAAAGGCAGATTTGTATTAGTCATTGGAAAATAGTGTACAGATATTTATTTTCTTAACATTTTATTATCCACTGTGTATAGTTGATAGTGTTAATTGTGGTGGGAATTTGCATTTAATTCCCTGGTGAGGAAGTTAACAATTACATGAGTAATTGTAATCAAAATATTTAATATCGAGCAAAGCGAGGATCACACAGAGTATATTGAACACAAACAAAGTTACAGTGTTACTATTTGGCCAAATAGGGACAGAGTTCTCAAAGCCACTGTGGTGTTGTATTCTCTTTGAAGGAAGTTGATCTACGGGTCTGAAGCCCATAGGTCCTGAGGATTCGGAGGCCCATAAGTTTAGGCTTTCAGAGGAAAACTGAACGTATAAGTTAGGGCATTAGATCACGGCTCTAACGGTCACTCTAAAATTGAGCTGGTGCCTTTCCCACCCAGACAGATGAGGTGCGCTGGTGGAAAGCCAGATGTGTTTTCTTTAGGTTTACGACGACAACTCTCATATATAAACAGGGAGCTGAATCTGTTAGGCAGAAGAGATTCACATTGGCCTCAAATCTCTCTCCAGGCAGAAGAGATTCACATTGGCCTCGAATCTCTCTCGAATTGATCTCTCTTTCCTGGATGTACAAACTCTTCGTATTTGATCAAAATGTTCAATGGTTTGTCCAACTCAAACATTCCCTGGTATTTCACCCAAGCAATAATTCCTAGTAGAGCTTAATGCTGATTCAGGCCACTTGAACTGAGCTCACTGAGAGTATTCAGGTCAAACAGTGTACAACAAACAATGTAATCAAAAAATTACATTACATTAATAACAACAAAAGACAAATTATTGTAGTAATTGGGGGACATTTAAATCTACTAATGAACCTGTAGAAGAAAATATTTTACTAAATATCTCATCTCATAATTTTTGGAATGCACCCAGATCCATTTCCTTTATTCCTATACATGACACTGTGGTCTGTGGTAGAGAAAGAGTTACTTGAAAAAATAATTATCAAGTTATTCTGTGTAAAACACAGAATAAGCTTTCCCAGGAAGCTGACCTAAGAGAAGACTTTCCTGCCTACGACATGTGCAGCAATACAGACAGACATCAGGTTAGCAAGGGGGTAAAAAGAATACTCTTATTAGCCTGTCCAGGACTTGTAACGACCTCAGACACGAAAATACTGGCAGACTCAATTGCACGACTCAAGCAGGTAGTGACTATAACACAAATGTTTATTGTATAGTAAAAAAGGTGCATAACAAAAGGCGCTCTCACCGAGGAGCAAAAAAAGGAGCAAAACAAAACACTAGCAAAAACTCAGAATCAAGGATCGAAAACATGAATACACAAACTTGGTTTGGAAGTTAACTATCGTAACGCTTAAGGACAGAACAAGACGAACTGGCAAAGGACAAAGGGAGACGAGGTGTATTTATACATGAGGAAGTAGGAAACAGGTGAAACCAATCAGGGGCAGGGAAGACAATCACCAAGGTGGGAATAATCATACAAAGGGAGGAAGTCAGGGTCTGAAATGAGAGGGAAAGGTGAGTACCAAAATAAAACAGGAAGTGCACTACGAGACTAGACATGAGTGAAGTTTAACTTAACACCAAGTGCTCAAAACACACAAGACCTGTATCTTGAACATGAATCAACTCAACATGATTGAAAAGACATAACAGGACTTCCTAAATTGCATTAACCTTTTGTCCTCATGCAGACCCTCTGTTTAGCTCAATCCACAATGTTTTAGATTAACGTTTGATGTGATGGTATAGAGTCTCTCCTAACTGTTGACCAGTAGCCAGAACCATGTTGCCTTGCTGTGATGTTGTCTCCACTCTGCAGTGATAAAAACTCATCTGAACCACTGAATTTGGACCTAAAGGAATTGTATTCTTCCACAAACCCAAAACTAGACTCCTCTAACGCTAAGATACAAAGAGCAGAAAGGCTGTTACAGAGATTGGTGTTGTTCACATCTGGAGGATGTTACACCCACGCATGAAGGAATATACTCAAGAAGACACTCAGTTAATAATAGACTAGATTACCTTTTCATGTTTAAAAATCATGTAACCTTGGCTAAAAGCTGTATAATTGGCCCAATAAATATGTCAAACCATGCAGCAGTCTCACAAGCATTAGCATTTAAAAACGTAACATAATTTGGGGATTCAATTTTAATGGATAAACAATTTGTTGAGAAAATTCAAAAAATATTGACTGAATTTGTAATGATAAACAATACAGAGGATAAAGGAGGAGCCCAACTTGGTCCCCGATACTTCCCATCTTGATGCTCTGATGAATCCAAAACCAGACATCAACAGGCCCTCAGCTTCAGCACCATTGACTGAGCCTGACGCAATGGAATATGTGAAACCATGCCAGAGGCGGACTTAGGCAAAGGTTTGTAATTGCCTTGGGCACCGAACTACCAGGGCCCCATAAAGAACTTAATAAACTTAGGGTTAAGATTTTTTTTCTAAAAATCCTTACGCAAAAACAGCATCAGAATGCCTATAATTCCCAAGCAACTAGTGTCTCTGCAACCCCCCTCTACAATGGACTATTCCATTAGTGCATCCACAGAAGTGATTCAAGGTGTAAACAGACACTGAAGAGCAACAGTTCACACTTAAAAAGATCTAGTTCAGTTCATTCAGATGAAAATGAAGTAATTCACATTCATTTGTTCTGTTTTTTATTGGGATAATTGAGATGATGATCATGTGTTTAGTTATTAATCAATGGTGTTAGAATGAATCTGTGTCGCTCCAGTCACTTAAAGGTACAGTGAGTAGAATTTTTTGATATCTAGTGTTGAAGTTGCATGTTGCAGCTGAATACCCCTCACCTTATCCTCCCCTTCCAAACATGAAAAATAACCTGTGGCAGCCTTCAGTTCTCATAAAAACTCAAAAGGTGTTTAGTTTGTCCAGTCTGGACCAATGTAAAAAACATGGCAGCCTCCGTAGAGAGGACCCCCTCGATGTAAGTATGAAGTATTTAAATATAAAGGGCCTGTTTTAGGGTAAAGAAAACTACAATTCATACAATTTAGATGAAACGAACTACTGAAAACATCATGAGGATTATTCTACATTAAATTTAGTTCCCTTTCACCTAAATCTTACACACTGGACCTTTAAACACTGAGTCCTGTGTGTGTCGCCTCTCATGTTTTACTGAGCGCACACATTATGTGGATGACTCATTTTTCACAATGTTTAAATGTGGCCTCATAAATTCTGGAATCAAACAAACACCAAGTTACTTCATGTACTGATCAGGTCCTGATAACTAGTGATTAGTGTGTTTTAATTATAGTGAGTGCAGGTCAGAGTGGAGGAGGAAACAGAAACTCTTAATAATTAATTCTACATTTTTTGGTTATTTCTACATTTTTTGGTTATTTCTGTAACTCCATAATTGACCTCCTATCTTCCATGTGAATGGACAATATGGTACATTCTTATTGTACAGAGATCATATTGTTTATGAAAATAATATTTTACTGTGAGCGCATTTGTTAAACTGTTAATATGTTTTGTTGGGTTGGGAAGAAGTTAAAGTTTGACTTACTTAGATAAATAAGGATAGAAAAAGGTGAAAAACAACATATGCGGAGGGCCTATGTTCGTTTTGGGCCCCCAAATTGCTTAATCTGTGCCACTCCCACACCACACCAGTCGGACAGACTGAACGGAGAACTAGACGCAATAAATATGCACGTTTGGTGCCCCCTCCTGAAGCAAGACTAAGGTTCAGTAGCTCCCAATGTTGGAAGCATCCAGGACTGACGGCTATGGCCTAATCTTCAGGCCATGGTCTGAGCAAGGCATTGTGGAAGCTGTGGCTCATATGTCCAGCCCAGTAGACAACCTGGCTCTGTTTGAGAGGCAGCTGGGACAGTTTGTCAAAGAATACTGTCCAACAATGACTGAACTGAGATGACAAATGAACAAAATAATCAAACAGGACTTCCACAAGATCGCCTCCTTCTTTACTGATGT